GATGAAGAAAGCATGTCTGCTTTTTTTAAATTGCATGGCCTGATACTCTTCCTGTGGAAGCTCATGGGCATCTTTTTACTACTTTTCTTTTTTTTTCCATAAGCTTGAAATTAGGTCATGTATAAATAAAGCTGATTAAGTTGGTTTGTGAGGGAAATATTCCCACTAAAGTCCAAAATTTAATCAAAATGCACATGGAAATGAGGAAATGTTTATTTCTAAGAAGAATAATTATAATGTAAAATAAAGTGAATAGTGTTCAGTTCTGAATGGCATTTCTGTGAAAAGTAAAAAAAAAAAAAGTTTTCCATTTTTGAAGTTGAAGAAAATATGCATCGAGTTGGGGATTTGTATCCCTACTTCTGTACTTTTTGTTTGATAATTCAAAAGGGAATCAAGGGCAGGAGTGACCAGCAATCTACACAGTTTCCCAGAGGTCTGCAGAGAGACAGAAGCAGCACATGAGTGGTGATTGGTTATATACTTGTTTGTTTTAGGAAGTCTTTTCTTTCTCCTTCAATGAGACAGCTAAGTATTGTAGTAGAAAGAAGGCAAGCAATGGAAGTATAATTCATATTCCAATCAAAATTATCCATACAAACTTGAAAGTACTCATATAGGAATTTGCAGAGTTTAGTAGTTTATTATATTAGTCAGAGTTTCTAATAGCGTGTTTCTTGGAGTCCTTCTCAGAGTCAGTTATGGACAATATTTTAATGATTATTGTGAAATTGTGTTCTTTGGAAATTATCTTATCAATTCTCTTCAATTTGTGGGTTACTTTTTGAGAACATTGGTTTATTAATGGTTCCTAGCTCTGTACAAACAGCGATTTGAGAGGTGGTGATTGAGATTAGAATTAGGTTGGGAATAAAGTCAATAAAAAGTTTTTCAGGTCCAACAGCTTTGAAATTTCCTTGAAACTTTCAAGCATTTTTAAAACAAAGTTGTCTAAATTAGGGAGAGTTTCCATCTGTTTCTGTCACTGGGAAAATGCAGCAGATAATGACAAAGCTAGGAGGCAATCAAATATATTACTGCCAGCAGAAGGAAAGCCTAAATCCCGATTGTTTTCCTCCACCTCCTGGCTGAAGAGTTCATTTAATTGGACCTCCTAGAAAGGAAATGTTTGTTTGGTCAAGTCTAGATCCTGCTGTCTTGTTAGGTCTTTCAAGACATTGGCATGTTTTCCATATTCAGACCTGCTTCTGCAATGAGTCCTGGTGGGAACGCTTGTGTTTTTGTCTTGCTCCAGTTTAGCTGGAGTTATTGAAGGGGTTTTTGTAGATGCCACTCGTACAATACCTTGCTATTGTTATCCTATGTGTCTGACAAAATGGGAATTGACACAACCCTTATTTGTTTGTTCATTCTGTATTTTCTTACATAAAGATGCCGCAGAGGACATTTTGTACACGTTTTGGTCATGTGCAAATATGCTGAAACAAATATGAGCCATCTAAATGAAATGCTTCATTTATCAGCAACTCGGGAAATCTGCATTATTCATGTGCTTCAAGGGTTACAAGTCAAGCAGTTTTTAGCAAGCTGCTAATCTGCAGTGCTTGCTGTATAGTTAGAGTAGCTTGCTATCCCAGGAGTTTCTGGCAAATGCTCATACAATCTGATTAACATGGTTCACATACAAAGGGCGCTGGCCTGGGGACTACCACGTCTCATTAATGGAAATGACTTTTTCATGCCATGACTGCGATGTCTCTGTGTTAAGACATTAATTTCTTTTTCCATTTCTGTCTTTTTTTCTGTGTGTGGTTTTTTGTTTGTTTGGGTTTTTTAAGCAGAAATGTTTGTATGGATTTTAATGACTGGTTATATTACAGGTTTGAGGTTTCATTTTTATTTTTGCATGCATTTTTACTAAGAAACAGATGTATTAGCAGCTGGAAAAAAAAAAGAGAGAAATGGCGTATATTTGTGTTCATATTGAACCCTTTAGCTCTGATTGAATGCTGATGAGTTCAGTTTAAGGATGAGGTGACTCAATCTGTTCTTGGCAGCAGTCGCACTCTGAGTGGGAGGTTGGAGCAGGTGGCCCCAGAGGTCCCTGCCAGTCAAAATTTCCATGTTTCTGAGAGTTGTCAGTTTTTCAGTATAACTTTCCAGAATTAAGAGAATTAGTGTAATTGATGTATCATCCCATTTTTTAAAGAAGCTGTAACGTATTCTACTGTGACATGAATACTGTTGTGTTTTATAGCTGAAAGGAGGGAAGAGAGGGCTTAGTCTTCTCTCAGAGCTGTTGTTTGGAGTATTTTTGGATTAATGTTGCTTCTTAAAGGAAAATGAAGAGAAGTAGTTAGTACATATTAGCTGGTATGCAAAGTATGCTCTGTGACCCGTCATCCACAGCTGCTGTTCTGTAGCATTTGCAATTTAAAGGTATTGGTGTCAGCAGGTTGTAATTTTCTAATTAATATTAATTTGTTGAAAAGTTCCCAAACATCACTAGCTCTCTTGTACAAGGGTGTGTACCTGAACATTGATATCCAACATATTACAAGATTATCAACACACATTTAGTTGATGGTATAAAGCTGAATTAGCACAAACCATCAGTCCTTCTGTTCATTCACAACTCCAGATTTAAATGGAGAGTGCTGAAATACCTCTAAGCATCAGTTATATAGTTTACAGCCTACTTTAACTCAGTATTCTGAGGTATGTGTTCCTTGAATATGTCGTCTTTGTTCTTGTTGTGATGTACACTTTGATAATCCTCAATTGCTGTTGTCTCTAAATCAAATAATACTACAGCGTAAACAATTTAAGCTTTAATAGTTACGCACAAACCCTGGCCTAGTCTAAAAGAACAAGAAGATTTATTAAAAGTTTTTTCTCTAAAGCAGCTGATTTTGGATTGAGAAGTGTGTATCATGCTCCTCTCTAAGGCTGCTCTGTTAATGGTCAAGAAGTATTGTTTACTTAAGAAAATATTGCTGTAACTCCATTAGTATAGACTAACAGTATTAATAAGTAGTGGACAGTTCAGCTTAATAGTAGTGTATAATAAATTCTGAATATGTAAAAGTTTAATTGTCAACGTGTAGGTGTCCAAAGAAACTATAACAGGCTGCGATGGACAACTGAGGATTTAGGATAATGGAGTTCTCTGGTTTATTTAGTGTAACATCATCATCTTCATACATTTCAGCAAGGGTGAGGGATTTCTGTAAGTGATGATTGGGAGGCTGTCAAAGAGGGGCTGAAGATAAAACCATAGGCTCAGCAGCTGTGCCTCTTCTCCCAGGACTCTGGTCACAGTTGGGCAGGACTTGGCTGAAAACAGAATCAGGTCTGGCTGCTTTTTGTGACTTAATTCTGGAAGGGCTGACATCAAAGTGTAAAATCCTCCTGGAAAGCTACTGAAACCATATATATTACTGATAGATAGATATACACTGATATATTTTCTTCATCACAGATCTTAAACGTGTTTGCAGAGTAAGTGATACTCAAGTAAAGGAACAAATAATTTTTTAATTTAAGATGCTTCCGTGGTGAACTCAATGCTGGCTGATGTGGAAAGGCTGTGTCAAGGGTGACAGGACTGCCTAACAGATGGGTATTTAGAAAAAGCAGCAGAGAGAAGGGATGCTTCCTTTTGATTTTTGTCCCTAGAAATCCGCTGAGGATTCCTCTGTTGACCTAAACAAACACACCCTGGTTTTTCTTTTCAAGAGAAATCATAAACTCATTTCAGCATCTAGACGTTGGCAAATTCAGGATGCTAAATGTCACACCATGTTGACTAAGTGTTAAATAACATGTTGTGATAAATTCACAAGACTTATTCACAAAGCAAAATTACACCTCCGGGCAAACTCAAATGACCAAACTCTGACATTTCTGAAACTTGCCAGCTTATTTCCACAGAGGTTTAGGAAAAAAAGGTCAAAGGACACCAAATGTATTACCACTCCACTCTTCGCCTATAGCTATAGCAACACTACATCTTCTAATATTGCATCCTATGGCAAATTAAGATTTCCTTGTTTAGGTCCTAGAAACAGGAGCTCAAAGGCTTTGTGGCCACAATATACGGAAACAACCTTGCCTTGTGTATATTATACGTGGGGTTGCTGCGGCCTAATGGCTTCAGCGAACATCCCCTTGCTCTGCCAGGAGCAGAATCGGGGCTGATAGCGTGCGAATTGCTCGATTGCCTTCTGACAGGAGTCTGGAGCGTCACTGTGCCTCGGCGTGTGTATACGGGTGTATAAATGTGCTTTCATAAACATGTTCCCATCTTGGGTTGCAGTAGTGGTTGCCATGGCAACATCACTCTGTGTACTTGAGCTTTAACATTTGAGAGTTCACCCAGAAAATAAATTTGGCTTGATTATGAAGTAAACTTGCTTGTTTTCTGAATTCTTTGGATACAGATTGTTCAAAAAAGCAGAAAATTATGTTACTGCCTTACTCTGTTTTCTGCTATAAACCATGCACAGAATCATTAAAGCTGTCATCTATCAAAATATAGTAAGATTCCAATAAAGCTAAATTGTAAATGTTGCCATCTTCAGCTCCATAATATATTATTTTAAGGGCTCCATGTCATTGTTGAAATTGATAAAACTCAATAAAACCCCACTGAGTAAGAAACAAAAAAAAATTCCTGTAAATTATACTCTTAAATAAGGATTTTTTAAACTTTTTTTAAGTACTGACCTATTTTTCTACAGCAAGTTAGAAGACCACAGGATGGTGACAACAGAAACGTTACTTGTGTATATCAGTATTTCAAATATATCAGTTAAAATCCTGGTTTTATCAAAAAAATTACCCTTGACATGAGACACGAAGGTTTCATATGTCAGGTGTATCTCTGATTTCTATGTGAAATCTCAATAGGAAGATTTGTCTTCTGTAACTATATATGTCTGTGAAATTCCTCCTAAGCTCTGAAAACCAACTTAAGCCATCTGATCTTGCATATCACCAGGAGTAGCAAGGAGTTTGCAGATGAAGTCCATTCTGCTCTCCCCAACACCACTGTCCATTCTGGTCTCTTCAGCAGAAGCCATAGGGACAGGGGTTTTAGAATCCTTGTCACCTGCAGCTGGACACATAGCTCTTCTGTAGGAACTTAAATTGTGCACAGGTCAGACACACATACAATTTGTATAGAGGAAGCATTTGTCTGGAGGTATATTCTTTTTTAAAAAAGATTTGAAATATTTTCTTTTTTAAAAATTGCCATATCTCATATAGTTGTTTATATAGCTGAGATCATTCTGCTTAGAGATGACGTGTCCTAGAGTGTCTAAGTTGCTTAAGAGCTGGTGTCCTTTTAGAGAAGACACGAGGACAACTTACTGTCTGCAATCTATATTTTTACTGAAACTTGGTCTGAGGGCCTGAGCGTGCGTCCTGCTTGCAGGTCTGCTGCAAGCTGGGCTCTTTTATCGGGGGGCAGACTCCTCTGGGGGTGGACTGGAACTGCAGGGCTGGCTCATGGCCATCTCTTATCACTGAACTAGAGTAAATCAAGATAATCTTGGATCCCAGCTGCTGCAGAGTCATCAGTTTGGTTTAATGTTTTGGTTTCAGTTTTGTTGTTGTGGTTGGTTTTGATTTATTGTTATTGTTTTTGGTTTTTTTTCATTGCTAGATATTGGCAGTGATTGTTAAAAACAGGAATAGAGTCTGTGTTCATCATGAGGCCAGATTTCTGTTTGTACCTCATCCATAAAAGTGACATTTTGGAGGGTTTTCTTTGGTCGGTTTTGTTTTTAAAAAGACATAGGTTGAAATCACATAGTATTTTGTAATGTTAGCTTGCAAATTCTGAAGTATAGTAGACTCCCATTAGCACAGTTTCTTAGAGTGTAGTAGATTGCAAGTGTACAGTTCCTAAATTTTTAAAGTGGCTTTTTTTCAATAATTTTTTTCAGTAATTTAAATGTGATTGACTGTAATTAACAAGAAAAAAAAGATTGGGGAAAAAAAAAAGAAAAATCGAGGTGAAATGTGCCCAAACCAAAGACCGCCAATGTAAAAATTTCCAAACCACAAATGAGTCATATAAAATTAACTTTCTTAAGAACTGCTAGGGCCTGTTATTGCAGCTATTGCTGTCAGCATTTTCAAGTTAAACACCATTTACAATAGTTTTATTTCACATCAAATTCAACTATAAGCTTAAATGCAAATGCCCCAATAATAGTTTTTGTCTTGGCAAAGCTTTGTGCTTTATGTCTTTCAGAGGCAATTATAATGTCTGGGGAAATGTAATGCAAATATATTGTTGGTGTAACCTTGAATTTGGAAAAAAAACACATATGCAGGCAGATTGAGTATTAGGTTAGCATACAGGCAGGCAGTTGATATGAGGAGAAATGGAAAAAGGGGAAAGATAAAGGTGTTCAAAGAAGGAGCTGGGCTCCTCGAGGAGTGCTGGGGATGGACAGGAGCTCAGGCAGAGGCATGGGAAGGTAAATGGTGGTTGGGGCAGGAGAGGTCAGGTGGTGGGGCTGTGGCCTAGTGCTTCATGAATGAAGATGTTGGACATCACTTCTTCCCCTTACACCTAGTGTAAGACCAGTACGTAAACACACACGTGTGCCACATCCCTCCTAGCGCTGGGAGTGCTGTTTCTCCATTCATGGTTTTGCTTTTCAAAACACTACAGTCTTATCCAGTGCCCTTCCCAAGGAGAACAGCGGGATGCGAGTGTGGAGCCCAAAGGACAGAGGAGTGATTAATTCATGGGCTAGGGAACCAGTGTGTGTGCGGGGGGGCTTCTGCCTCCCTGTTGGAGACTGTTGTTCTGGTGTTTGCAAATGAGTGCTCACTCTTTGTGAGCAGGTAGGAAACTAAGCTGTTACCCACCTGAGCTGGAGGGAAAAGCTGTGCTGAAAATGGAACTAAAGTGAAGGCTGCAGCACAGCACTTACCATGAGAAATGCCCAGGCTCCATAACAGAGCCATTTATACTGAGCTGATTACTCTGCAGTTTTAATAAACCTCCTAGGTAGGCTGTGCATATATCATGGATGCTGTTAGCTACTATGCATTCAGTAAATATTTCTGACTTTTGTTCCAGGCAAATAGGTATTACCATTCTCATGTCTGAGAATGGAAAAGATCTATGTTAGTAATACATGCCCAGCATATTAGAAACCAGCTGAGTCTGTCTCATCTTTATAGGATACTTGTCTCCTGGGTGAGAAGGAGCTTCCTAGCCATTTTTCTTTCTCCAAGCCCCAGGACTTCAAAGGTTCTGAAAAGGCACAAGGCAAACACATACATGTGTCTTTGCACACCTGGATGGCCCAGGATATTATAACTCAAGTGGCTGACACGCGTGATCACTGCTTTGTCAGGCAAGTTAACTCTTGCTTCCAACTGGGTATGTTGTGTTATAGATGATGTTCTTGTCATGTAGGCATCCTTTGTGTTAAGAGTATCCTGGTCCACGCAGCTGTTCATGATATAATAAAATTGGTGAGATATTTTGAAGAAGTTACATATTCTGCATCACTCACGTATCCCAAAAAGTGCTTATTAGTGTTATACGTTGAGACAGCTTGGACTCAACAATTATCTATGTTATACTCACCTTCTTTCTCAAGTCCGATCTCTCTGTTGTGTCTTCTGCTACAACACAGCACGTTTTTTCAGGTTGCGTTTGTCTTGAGTCAGCCAGTGAAATGTGAAGGACTGGTAAGCTTTGTCATTTGGTTTTATATGGTGGTTGTGCAGAGTGACAAGGAACTAAATTGTCCTACTGTAACTGAACTGATTGCCAAGCCCATATCCCAAATGTGAGGGAAGGGAGAAATCATTACTGCAGAAAATTAGGGAAGCGATGATGGAAATATCACATTAGTCTTTGAATTACAGTGTAGTGTAATATTGCTGTTGACAAAGGCATCCTACTCTCTTCTGCAAACAACTTTTGTCAGGGATTTATAACTCTGAAGACATTTGTCTAGGCCTGAAACTTGACATTATCTCACTTACTGAAGTACTACATTTTTGTCACATACACTTGAAAGACTTGTTTGTGTGGTGAGTGTTGATTTCCATGATAAGTACAGCTATTTGCCCTCCAACCAGGTGACATTATATCTGCTTTGGGGTTTGCCTAGATGCAAAAAGATTATAAGGACTCAAAGCAAAATCTCTCTGCGTAGAGGATATGAAAAGCAAATCAAAGTGAAAAAAAACCTTTAAAATGAGATTAGCCAACAACCCTGGATTTCTGGCTTTTTGACTATATAAAGAAGCCACAGTGCCTTTAGCACAGTTCCTGAGCAAAGCTTGCCTTTTCAGAGATGAACACTAAATGGCCCAAGACAGCGTTCGCTACAGGCAGCACATTAACACTTGCCACTCTTCTTGCTGTGAACGAGCCTGCTGATCATCTCAGCTCTTTATGAACTGGATTTAACATCTACAGCACCACTCAAAAATAATTTACTGTAATATATATTCATATTGTATTTTCCGTGTTGGTTTCATAAAATGTTCATACAAATTGACCTTTCTGTTGTGGAGGCATTAGTGTGGAAGTGATAGGGGCAACACCTTTCATGTAGTCTTTATTAGAGAGTGTTCAAAGGCTTCATTGATAAGGGATTCAAGCAGGAAAGCTTTCACACAAAAAGTTTCTGGTTATTTTATAGAAAGATGGACCCAGCAGACAGGATGTAAATGTGTTGTTTCTAAGATCAAAGAACAGGTAGATAGTTTTGAAATGGGCTTGTTAAGGCAATAATGATCTGATAAAGCTGAATCCTGATTTTTGGTGTGCAGTTAATTGAAGGAATACTTAGCATTGGTTTGGTACCTCTCTATACATATTCTCACAAATTAATGAAAATATAGAAATGCACATCAACTTTATTGGTCATCAGATTGGCTCTGTCCATTACTCCATATTTTATGGTCCCCTTTTCTGTCCCTATAGAATGGCCTTAAAGCTCACTCGGTGCACATTCAGACTTCTGGCATTTTGCAGTTGCTCTTTTATCTTTATAATAAAACATGTATTTAACAACAATTAAATGTTGAAACAGCTTGCTGGCAGATGGGATGGATTTTCTATCTCCTGAAGTTTTCAAAAGTGTCTTTCAAAAATATGTTCATTTTATGATCTGTGAAACAGAGAAAATAGAGTATCATAGCGTTTTTTCCTCAACTTCATAGTTTATCCATATTTCCATTGTCTATTTTTTGTTATTCTCTATGTAGTGTTTCCATTATCCTTCTAACTCTTACCTGAAATTATGTTTAATACATAATCTTTCAGTCACGCCTGCTTCCTTAACCAGCTAAATACTAAATAGAACTGGTAATATAGATTACATGGCACAAATGACTTGTGCATTGAGAATCAGGAGACCCTTTTCTAAAATCACTGTTGGCATAGTTAATACACTGCGGCCCCAATCTCAGATATTTCGTGGTAAGTTGTGCTGTGTCCTTACACTCAAATAATGAACTTGGCAATATTAGTAGAAAAAGAGAAGAAACTAACTGGGGTTACTCTTGCATTCTTTGCATTCTTTTTGTAGCAACGCATGTGCTTTAGTTAGATCCCATACACCAAAGACTTGTCTCAAATATAAAGCTGAATTGAATATTGATTTTTATTTTAGTTCATTTAGCTGTTTGGGGTTTTTTTTCTGGAGTGAGGTAACTGGTTGTGGTGCTTTGTATGAAAATTTGATTGCTGAGATATTAAGCTGAAGAATGTGGTTAGTACTCAGCGACATTAACAAGCATTTAAAGAAATTTCATAGGAATTTTTATTATCCGCTTATGTGTAGATTTAAATAACTTTTATTAATGCACTCCATTGAGCAATAACATAAATTTTTTAAATGTCATAAATGCAGAGAAAACTATCACAGAAACACAATGGTCACCATTTATAAGCACAGCAATGGCAACATTTGCCATGTAATGGCATCTGAAAAACTGCCGTAATTCCTATTCTATAGGTAATATTGTAGCAATCTGTTAAGGGTGTATTTCTTTGGCTAAAGCAGTTTGTTAAATGACTCCAGTAATTCTAGAGTTAAAATTTCGTATTTATGGAATACAGTAATGATTTGGTTTGCTTTTAAAGGACAAAACACTTGCCTTTAAATTAATTTCTAATATAAATCAGTATGAAATAGCATTGGAAAGATGAGGTTGTTGTGCAGTTGTTATTATCTTGTAGTGACCTGTGTCGTTGCTGTTTTGCATATTAATTCCTCCACCAACATGAGATGAGATAGAATGAAAGGGCAGATAAATAGTTTGAAAATTAGTTGGCTCAGTTTTTCAAAGAATATTAGTAAAACACCTTGATGTCCAGTGGTGTTAGAACTACCACTTGGTTAGAAGTGTAGTGCACCAGGGATCAATTCTGGGGCTGGTATTATTAAATTTCTTCCTTAACAACCTGGATTGAGGAGGCAGTGTGCTCCCTTCAGAAATCTTGAGGACCTGTGGGGAAAGGTGCTGACCTGCTGGATTGTAGAGCTGCAGTCAAACCTTCACAAACCTGAGGGTTGGGCTAACAGAAAGTATGTGATGTTCAGCCAAGAGTGGCTTTGCAGGCATAGGCCGTTTGTTGACTCAACTGAGATTTAGAGACTAACGTTTGTTGCCATTATTTAAGTAAATAACACAGCTTTTCACACTAATGTAAAGGTGCATTAGTTCAGCTCACTCTAAACTCTGTTGTTTCCACTGTATATAGAAAATACATATATATAGGACTGCAGGTGGAGCATTGATTTGCAAAGTGTACACAATGGCTACATTTTAAATGTTCTGTTGACTGTTCCTAGACTGCCTGACAGTTATAGGCAAGGGTTATTTATATGGCTGTACAAGGAAATAGGATCTGTAAATTGGTGTTGTATAGAACAAGGTAGTCTTTCCGTGGACAATAGGCTGTTTCATTATGTCAATGCTTTCTAATGGTTTGCTCTCTTCAAACGGCTTCAAAAAGCTAAATTCTGCTTTGCCATTAGAGTAGGTTAATCTATTATGTGATCTCAATAAAGTTATCTGGACATAAGTCTTAGAGAAAGAAAATGCCTTACAATGTAAAATTGGAGGGATAGTGTAGTGTTGTAGGTGTCAGTCTGCTACTGTCACTGTGAGAGGTTTAATATCTTTATCTTCATTTTGTTCTAATTGATGAGTGAGTCTGATGTTTGATAAGCCCTAAATTACAGGTCCTTATGTAGTGGAATAGCTATTGTCAAAGTATGGAAGAAAATGGCACCCTATTGTTGCTGTCTGTTACAAATGATTTGATGAAAATTGACTTTGAATGTTTGTACAGGAGGTCAGAGTTCCTGTTAGAGGGCTCCTACTTCCATAGAAATTTCTAGAATTGCCACAGATATACCTTCCTATTAAAGGAATGATTTTGATATAAATACTTACCTGGCAGTGCTTTTGTTTCATTAAAATGGGAAAAATAAGCAGAGTTAAACAGCTGGGACAATTTCTACGTAAATTCATCAGTCATTCAGGAACTATGCATTTAAAATACCTATAAATAATACAATGCTCCATCTAAATGGAAGCTTTTTATTGATGTGTAAGTACAGTGTCACCCTGAAATTTCTTTTTTAACTTATAATTTCCTTGTGTTTAGAATCAGTTCAGGCAAGTTATATATTTCTACTTTTTCAACTTTATTTTAACAGCATTATTTTGTATGGTATGTGAAATGAAATTGATACACACAGTTGTTAAGCTTTAAAATTACTTTCAGGTAGTAAATAATTGTTTTGGAAACTCTGTGCCTTCACTCAATTTTTTAATATTATCTTGGGGACAGATAGAATAATATGGTAACTTTTTGTTTTGCTACTGGCACTTGTAAATCCCCTTTATTCATATTCTTACAATATATTATATTCCTTTAAATATCTTCTTTCCCCTTCTGATGATAATCATGGGATTTCTGATCCCATGGACTATGGAAACAGGGAGAGTGAAATACTGAGAACCTAGTTTTTGCTTTTTATTATATATGTTTAGTTCTCCTAGGTTTTCAAAGAATAAATGATTTTTTATGTATGCATAAAGAAACAAACACTTGTGGTATTTTAAAATTTTGTGTCAATAGATAAAAAGATGGCCTATCACAAAGTGAATGCAGACCTGAGAGCACAGGGGCACTCTCCGTACCTTGACAATGATGAGCTCCAAGCCACAACGCTGGACCTGGAATGGGACATGGAAAAAGAGCTGGAGGAGCCTGGCTTTGACCATTTCCGACTGGATGGTGCGGTCCAGCATCATCTGGGAAGCTTGCAGAGCCCTGAACTTGATCTCGAGCCCATCCAGGCAGCATCATCTCCGAAAGGAAGATTCCAGCGGCTTCAGGAAGACCCTGAGTACATCTCACACTATACGAGACAGGCACCAAAGAGCACCCGCTGCAATTGTTTTCAGATACTGAAAGTATTTTGCACTGCTTTGATTTTATTTATTTTTGGAATTGTGATAGGATATTATGCACGCAACAAATGCCGTTCTCCCCCAACATCTCAAGAGCCAAATAACTTTCATATCTACCAGGAAATTCTCAAGGAAATCAAAGCCAAAAATATTCAACAGATTTACAGGTATGTAAACCTTGGTGTCTTTTGTTTTGGTTTTAATGCAATCAGGTGCCATTGTTAAAATTTCTTGTGATTTGTTTGATGTACAATCTTATTTACACATCTTGACTTTTTCTTCATGTTCAGCTTTCTCATGGTGTTTGGGAAGCTTTTATAGACCTACATGAAACTGAAGTAATTTTTAATGGTGTGGATCAGTGTCGGTCATTATAGTTTTTGCTTTAATAACATTCTGTTGCTAAATAATATCAGCTTTAATGAACTGAAAAACACATAATTCAAAGTGATTAGAAATATGAGGATAGACCAGCTGTCCTAGATCCAGTCAACCGTTAAATAACATTGTTGAAAAGATTTTTAGATGGCATTTTGTAATATTTGGTGCTTTAAGAAATGCCTATATAATTTCTGGCAAATAAGTGAATCCTGGCTTTTGTTTTTCAGTCTACACAGTGAAGTAAACCTGTAGTTTGCATGAGTGTAGGAGGGAAAAATTGAACTCTGAATTCTGAAACACTAAAAGATTTTTTTTTTCTTTAGTACCTGTTTTATGAATATAAAATGCTGTAAAATATCCACTGACTGGGTTTGATTTTATTTTTTTTTTAATGTTGAATCTTTTCACTGCTTTGGAAGTTTATATAACACATTTGTCTCAGAGTGTAATCACTTTTCTGTAGCAATGAATATGGAAGAAACTAGGGTTTCCTGCCAACTTTTGAAAGTTATTTCTGTATGAGGAGGTAGATGAATTTATTTCTGGCTTGTGGAACTGCAAGTTCCTTATTCATGATAAAGGAAATGCGTTGGAGATTTTTTTTATCAGTACCAGTTCAGGAGCAGCAGAACTTAAATACCTGAGGTTAGAAAGGATTGTTGTCATGGTCATCCAAGAAGTTGTTCTTGAATAAATCAGAATATACAATACAATGTGTCAGAAATATATTGAAAGCAACCACAGAAGTCTTCTAACATAATTTATCTTTTATTGTATTTGCTAAACTAAGCCTAATTTCCTGAAGGGTTAGTACCATGTCTTGAGCCAACACTGATACTAGAGTCAAAGGAAAAAACAGGTATGAAGGATTTAATGTCAGTTTTGATGTGCTGAACTGACTCTGTACAAATCAAGTAGTTTTCATAATGGATAGGTATAGGTCGTGGAAAATGTTGATTCTGAATGGTAAAAAAATTAACCTCTTTGTATTCTCAGAGAGTAAATTGAACTGAATTCTGTCATTAGGCTTAGTCATGAACAAAGTATTTGAATAAGCTAAGCCCTACCGATTGGGTACTATGCAATTACAGCAAATTGCAGAGAACTGTCAGTCTCAGGCTAATACTTCAGTTCTTTGTGTTTGGGGACTGGGAATTGCTTGCCATTTTATTATTTCAAAGGGTGGTTTAAAAACGTCCCCTTTCAAACTCTTCATCGCTTTTCAAACTATTTCATCTAGCTATTAGGATATTAGTCAGAATCTGGACTTTAGGTAAAATGAATTATATTAGTACTTTGGAACTTCAAAAACTTATGTAGTTTCTGGCCTTTAATTAATATAATTCTTAGCATTTGGTAATTTTTTCTATACAATAGCATGATTTCAATAAATGTATTCAGGCATTAATTCAGCTACCTATTGATTCTGTATATAGATAAATAGCCATTGCTTTTAGTATACACCATTACTGACAAGATTTTTCTTAACCACATTATGATCTGAGACAGCCTTTATCTCATCTTGTGTTACATTGCTTTCCCTCAACATCTGTTTGGCAAGAGTCAGCGCTACTGCAATGAAACCTGTGTCTGTGTAGCCCCACAAATGTAGAACACACAACATATGTCATTGGGAAAAAAAACCAGCCTAAACCTGACAAAATCAATGTAAGTTGTTGTAGGACTTCTTTCAATATAATATACTTTAAGTTACTAGGAGTAAGTGGCAGCTGCTTAGCTTGCAATTTCTAAATGTTACGGAGAATGACATTAATTTAATTTTCTTAGCCTACTAGTTAGATCAGACTCAATAATGGTAAGGGATTTCGCTAACAGTCCTGATAAAGGACTTAGGAGAAGAATGTATAAAAGACACAGCACTGCCAAGCATATCACCCAAGCAGACATCACCTTAATGTGCTTGGTGGTGTGGAGCGGGAACTTCCCATTGGGATGAAATTTGCTGCGGTCAGATGAAGCTTTGAGGAGTCGGACACTCTGGGCTTCTAAAGAGGTTGCAGAAGTGCACGAGGGGACTTGTGTTGATTTTGCTGGGATTTGGACTGTATTCTGTGTGAATTGAATGAAGCCTCTCTGCCAATCGGTGTTAGAAGTGGAGGATCACATAGGATAACAGCAGTTTGCACAGTTTGCTGAAATGGGTGACACAGGCGTTCCTGTCCAGCTTCTTCACTGAAAGCTCTTGATGCGAGCTTGTGAGCCACTCCTCTGCCAGTCCTGTACTGGCCATCGCCATCAGCCAGCTCCTTGTTCAGCATCTTTCCTGGCAGATGTACTAGAAATCATTAGGTAAGAAAATGTGTTGGCTTTTATTCCTTCAACTTTGCACCTTGCTTCCCATGAAATGTCAATACTACAGAAATTCAGTGCAATTTCGCACAGTTGTAATTACTGGTGTTGGCCAAGTTTCCTAATTAATGATACAGCCTAAGTAAAGATTATCTCTGTAAGCCTTTTTGAACACCTTCCCCCCACTCCCTGTAGGGAAGTGCTTACTACGTTGACAATAAAAAGTAGAAATCAGATTACTCCTGATGTTTCAAGGGGACTTAAGTTATTAGAGGTGCCTGAAAGGAAGAGAGGAGTCACCACAAAAAAATGAGTTTTCCTTACCCTGCACATTGCATTTTACATGTTGACAAAAATTAGGGCAAATATTGTTACTAGTATTTAGTTAGTAAATCTAACATTTTAGGAGTGTGAATACTAAATATTATATTTATAAGAGAAACAACCTGCTCTGTGGTGTGGGCAGTGTTAAAACTGGTGTCACGGAATCGCACCAAAATGGCTACACGCACACAGATAATGAACTCAAACAAGCTTCAATCTGCAATTGAAATGAAGCAGACAAAACTTCATTCACCAAAACAACATCCCAGTGACATTCAACAAATACAGGTTCGATATGCTGGTTGGGAATATTACCAGACACAGCTGAGTTAAGAATGCTTAAGTTTTTGGCCAAACGATCCAAAATGTGCACTCACTCACTCACCAAAAAGGGAGGGCTCTCAATCTCGAGAAGTTACCTTAAGTGGCGTCCCAACTCAAGGGGAGAGTCCCTGACTGCAGACCTGCTGCTCCGAGGAGGACCGACTCCAATGAGTCCTCCGGCGGGGCCCCATTTATACCCTGGTCGAATCTGATCTGTGGTCAATCCATGGTCGTGTCACCCCCTACTGGCTGAGGACCCCAACTTTCCCGCCTTTGACCCCCACTGTGTGGCCCAGACATGAGCTGTGAGGGGGGAGGCAGTCCTGGTGCCTCCAGGGCCAGAAACTTTAGCACTGTCTTTGTTGGGTCTTTCTCGGGTCTTTAGTAGGGTGGGTGCATCTGCCACAACTGGTAAAACCAGACATCATTCTGCAAACATCACTGAGCTGATAGGAATCCAGTAGTATTATATCTGTGCCATGAATATGACTTCTTTTCAGTTTTCTTTTGGAAGGTATATGAAAAGGCTTTAGTTCAAGTCTGGTGTAACTTAGCTTCCATAAGCCTTCAGGGCAAATATGAAAAGGGCATAAATCCCACATCCAAAAGAAACAAGGTAGAAGTTGAGATACAGAATATCTTGGACACTGTTTAAAATTATATCTGTAACCAGCAGAATTTAACAAGGCAACACAGATGGACAAAGCAGGTATTTATTGACTGAAAGTAGGCTGTCTCCTGGGACAGCCAGGGTGAGGCTCCATGGCAAGATTGAGTTCTCGGAGCTCTTTTAAAGACAGCTTGTCAAGAGGGGATAGCTGGAGAGTACTCATCTGTGCTTTGAGTCTGCAGTCTTGCTCCCTGTGGAATGTGTCTGTGGCTCTGAAATGTAATCGTTAGAATAGGCAAAGTCTCGTTTTCAGAAGTGATGAATGCGTTTAGTTGTGGAAGTCTCTGAAGTTTGTGATAAATGCTTAAGGTCATAAGAGGCATACTTTCAAAAATAGAGAAACACCCAACAATTTTGCTAATCACACTGTTGAATTCTCAAAAGTAAATGAGCCCAATGTTCAATGAAAACTGATATTTTTAAGCTACTTTTAAAAATAGGATTCAGATTTTTAGTATCACTGAAGTTCTTTTGAAAATTCAGCTAGTTTTTCTTCTCACTGTATATAAAAAGCGGGATACTAAAGAATTATACCTTTATCCTCTTGTGCATCTGCTAGATGCAGGTTAGTTATTTGATAGGTAGATTATTTTTTCTTCCCTAAATTAAAGCTGAGTGTGCCGCTTGTGCTGTGTAGTGTCCCCTCTGCCTCCTGGGTGGTTTTTTTTTTTCTTGCTGTACCTTCAGGAAAAGACAAGGGAAAAAAATCTGGGACACCCTGGTCTGGAGTTAGAGGGAGCAGTGTCACAGACTTCAAGGTTACTGTCTCTAACTGCCAAGATTTTGGTCATCATACATGTTGCTAAGCTTTTATATTTTAAAATGGTAAATATTTTAGTTTTGTGCAAACTGAACTTTGGTGAGTGTTTTCAGTTAAGGTTTGAGTTGCATACTATTAATGAAATCTAAAGAGACAAGGTAATGAAAGGACAATAGCAGCAGAAATACAATCTTGTCAAAGACCTCTAATATTATAGTAACTACTTCTATCCAATTTGACATACTTTTCCTAGAGAAAATACATTGTCTTGCATGTTTAACAGTACAGACCATTTCAATGGGGAAATACGGAAGGTGGTATTTGTATTTTATATGAAATGATTTAATTTTTTTATTCCAGAGCCAGGTAAAAATGAAACAATCCTATTTTGTTTGAAAAATACGGGGCTATGGTGTTTATTTTATAGGAAGTTATGATTTTGGGGTTGACTTCTGTAAATTAAACAGATAAAAGAAGATTCATGATAAATAGTAAGTGTAAAGAAAAATGAACAGTTGTGTTGATGTGGATGATAATTCTAGCTATGCCTTG